ATGTTATGCACAGTTAAAATAAAACTTCCAAAAGTAAATATGCTTGCTTAAACATAACACTTCTTGTTCCATTGCCAGGCTGAGATCTCTGGTTTTGTTTTGAGTGTTTTGGATGCTCAAGTTGAGTGAGAGAAGCTTCACTTCTGTGACTTCATGATATGTTTTGTTACTTTGCCTGCTAAGAAAACCATTAAGCTGTACCAAAGTAGAGCAGCCTCGGGGAAATAACTGAAGGACAGGCAGTTATTTTCTCACTCAGACTTTATCCTGGCTATTCAGAGCAAACTTGCAACTGAAGACTGCCTCCACAAAATTTGTGAGTCTTTGAAGGTGTTGCTGTCTCAGTGTTACCGAACAGATGCTGACATTTGTAGCAGTAGTAGCACTTTCAAGTGTGCTAGTGAGAGAAAATAGTGGGTGTGAATCATTTTCAAAGCCTTATTTAGGACTAATTTGTGACCTTAGTCCAACACTGTTGTTTCTGTAATTGGTTTATAGTAAGACAAATGCAAATATTTTTAACAAAAACTACAATACTTCGTCACTTTCTATGATTTTAGAAAAAAAAACAGGTGTTGCAAGTGTGTTTGACCATGAACTGGTTCAGTCAGTTTCTGGTCTTTGACTGAAGAAGATGTTTATTATTTAGAGGTGATAGCTAAGTACAGTGATGTGCAGTAATTCTTCAGCTATTGCTAACAGCAACAAGCATCACACTGTCTTTCAATTTTTATGCATGGCTGCTGTACCTTAAATAGACCCTTCCTACCAGAAAAATTCCTAGCTTTAAAACACCATTGGAGGCAGAATGATCTCACTTTGGCTAGTTGGGTGGTAAGTGTTCATTATTTCCATCTCTCTCATATTTTTAATTAAATTGTTCTCAAATACTTGGTAGCAGCTGATGTGAGTGGTCTGATCCAGTGAAGCATCTGTAAGAAGGTTATCTTGTTGTCAGAATATTTTTCTTACAGAACCCAGAATTGTGATGTCTGACCTGTTACAAGCTCATAAATTACATTAACTCTGAACTGGAAGAGTAGGTGGAAGTGTCCCATCTCTGTTACTCTTGGCAGGCAGCAAGCGGGCATACAGTTTAAAGCAGTGTGAAGAAGGCACAGGGACACCAAAAGGAAATGTGAATCTCTTTGGATGAGTGCCAGAATTTACTTTCAAAGAGAGGTTGTCAGTATAAAACTGTCTGGTTTTTGTTTTGTTTTTTTTTTTTTTTTTTTTTAAACAAGTTAAAGCTGCTTTCTAGTACTACTGAGTACCTGTTTTGACACATTAAAGTCTTATTTTTCTGTTTTGTTTTTCTGAATTATTTCCCCTCCTTTTTGAAAACCTGTCCAAGTAAAGTACAAAGCAAGAGGCTGTAGAAGAAGGTGAACTTTAAAGAATCTTTCAGCAGAAGAATTCAAGTATCAATTGTAACAGTTACAGCTTAATGAAAATAACTTCTGACTGCTTTTATTTCTCTTGCAAGATTTCAGGACTTTCGGGGGTGTGAGAGAGGCAAATAGTTGTAAAATGCTTTTGAGGACCACTCTCCACCTGTTTCTTTTGGTCTCTGGGAACAATGTAAAATCTCACGTCTCACATGAGCTCAATCAATTTATCATGTGTTTAAACAAGCACCTGAAGCCAGGTAATCAGCAGGGGCATGCTGTGTTGTTTTGGAGGGAAAAAGTTTTCTCTCATTTAAGGGTAGGTATTTGTTATTTTCAGATGTGTTGTGAGTTCTGCTGCATTTGGACATCCAGCTGCGGCAGTGTTTAAACAGCCACTCGTTTCTTCAGGTCCTTGTCCACTCTGCTGGTGAAGCAGCTTGCTTAGCTGCATGGCAGTTTGGTTTGAGGAACATGCTTTTGGCTAAGAAGTAACTGGAGTTTCTGCCAAGTTATTTTGCAAGCAGATCGGCTTTCCTGCTCTGATTCAGTGTTCAACCACGTGTATAGTTGTGCTGGGATAAAGAGGATGGCTGTGCTCTGGGCAGGCCAAGGCACAGAGTGACGATTTAAGCTGACGCTATGCCAGGTGATGAACAGTGTGTTAGGAAGGAAGCAGGATTGTCGATGAGACCATCTTCATTGCCTCCATGCTGGCAGTGCTTTGAGCTGGGGAGGGAACCCAAGCATGTTTCTTGCAATCTGCATGAGGTGAAAGACTTCAACCTTACTTGTTCACATTCAGGGCAGATTTGCATGTTTGTCTTTTATTTAAAGATCTTAGGTTTTCTAACTCTCTGTGGAGAGCTGTGTCAGTTCTGTAGAGGTATCAACAGGGGAGTCTGGCACAAGTGGTTACACATGGAGTTTCAGCACATACCTCTGGCTCTTATGACTCATGGATTTTCACTGTTAAGGATAAAGCCTTCTAGGGTGGGTGTTGCACCACAAATTAACTTCATATTTTTAAATGGGCTGTTGGTAACTCAGCATTACCTTGAGAGCATAATTTTTCTCACCAACAATTTGGCACATGGATTATTCTACAAAGAACAGGATTTTTCATGTTTTTGTAACAGAAATAGATGACAGTTGGAAATGTGCTCTAATTTTAGCATGGCCCGAAACTATTCTGTGCCCTCTTGTCATGACCCGAGGAAGCTTTTCTGTGACTGAGTGTGGCAGTGGTATGTACTGAAAGATGTGCTCAAATTCTCCAAATAATTTGTATCCTCAGGGATATGAGGAAGCTGTGTTTGCCAAGATAATTGTAGAACATGCTGCTTCTTTAAGTGTCCCAAGAGGATTGTTTTGGGCTGCAACAGGAATGACCACTCCATGCCAGTAATAAGGCTTGTGCCTGTTGCTTTTCAAAGATTTTGCTTTTTAACATTTCTGATTGTTTATAGTTGTATTAGTTAGTTCTGTCTGCTGTTGTAAGCAATTAACAGGTCACCAGTATCTAAAAAAACTTGCTTATAGAAGTCTGAGGATGTAATGCAAAGTCAGATTTTAGTGTTTATTCCTAAAACGTTTGACAAAGCTTTCTTTGGGCCATCCAGGTGATGGTGAATTCATTTACTTCTGTCTGTCTGGAATTTCCCAGCAGATGGGGCTCTTGCCTGCCAGGCAGCCAGGCAGGCTCTGGGCTGTGCAACTGCTGCATATAATTTTCTATACGAAGCTTTTGCGCTTCAGATCCTTTCGGCAGGCAGGGTGACCTTAACTGGCCTGCGTGTGTGACTTGTCCAGGAGCCAAAGCTAGGCTGAACATGGCAGTGTTTGGAGAACTCCCCTCTAATTTTCTACACAGTGCAGGAATTCCTCCTTATGGGGAAGTGTGACCCTAAATTTTGTTTTTCCTTGTTGATTTTCTGAAACGTTCTTGTCACTTGAATCCTCACATTTGGGTCACTTCCTTTCCCACTGTGCTTAATTTGCAAAATGGAAAAGTTTTGTCATGTTTCTGGAGCTGATTAGGAAGGCTTGTTTTCTCATCACATAGGGCAACTTGCATATTTCCGATGTGTATTTGTGCTTTCCTTCACTTTCAGCTTTCCCTCTTCCTGAATTTCCGTTGGTCTCACTGACATATTTTCTAGGACATGATTCAGAGCTATTTGCTCTCTGCATGTTCCCATAAATCACCTAGTTTGTACTCCACATAAGAAAAGGAGTAAAACTGGCTGTAGTAGGGCTAAACTTACGCATGCAGGTCTAATTCAGTGCATAGATTCCAACTGTGTCCTGCCTAACATTGGTAAAGGTAGGGCATGAAGATAAGGTTTAGTCTGAATGGTCTGGTAGAGACATTTTAACATCAAAAACCTTGTGGTTTGCTGGATCTTTGAATTGACTACATGTGTGCTGTGGCTCTCCTGTCTAGAAGGGAGTGCTATCAACAGCTAAGAAACATTCCTAAAGCTGGGCCTCTGCTCTCATCTCCATCCAGATTTCATGTGAACAAACTGGTAGAAGACTAGTTTGCAAAGCAATAGCCTGCCCTGTGTTAGAGCAGCCCAGCCCTGGGACTCCCTGCAACCTCCAGCACTTTTGTGCCGGTGTGAGAGGGCATGAATGGTTGGCACCTGGCCCAGGTGTATTTGGAGCAGTTGCTGGCAGGTTTATGAATGCAGAGAGTTCCCCTACTCATAGAAAATTCCTTTTCAACTTCTTCAGCCTATTTTATCTTCTTTGTTACAATGCTGGTTACAGACATTAATCTGGCCCCGCTAATCATCTTTACGGGTTAGGCATATGTAATTCCTACATCACTTGTGTGCATGAGATTATATGTAAATCAAGGGCTCCCTTTTATGTGCACTTGATTTTCTCTGTATGTCAGTGTGGAGATTCTCCACCCTTTGTTCGTTCCTGTAATACAGGCTGTAAATTGTGGTGTGAGTTCAAAGCTAAGCTTTTTAAACTATAACCTTTTGTGCCATCTTTAGACTCCTCCAGAGATAGGGCTTTCAGGAAGGGCTGCATGTTCTCCACCCAGCCAGGAAAGTGAGTCCCTATGGATCGGCCTGCATGACCACCAGTCACTGTCTAACATTCTGCTTGTCTTTCAGTCTTTTCTCAGTTGCTTTTGGTAAAAATAATTCATCCTGAAAACAGTTGCTACACTGACATTAGAGGGTGACGGGGTATAAAGGGCAGGTCCTGGGCTGTTCCCTTTGTAAGCAGAGGTTGTCCTTCATTAGCTGTGAGTTCTTTTGAGAAAAGGCAGCATTGCTTTTGCATGTTGTATGTCAGATAAAAGCAAAACAGTAAGTCTTGCCTTTGGGTTGGTCATTATTTTCTTGGAAAAGTAGTCCTGTAAGTGAGAGAAGGCTTGGGTTTTACGCCCAAAATGCTCAAGCTATGTACCTGTAGCGCTGCTGTTTTATTGGCATACCTGCAGGGCATAGTACCTTTTCATTTTAAAACTGAACTCGCCCTGGAGGGGTATCTGTTGCATTAGCAAATGAAGGAGAATATTAGCACACCTAAAGTTCGTTATGGATTTTTTGGCATATCTAGTGATCTGTTCCTATTTCTTCGCTATAGATCGCTTGCACAACTCTAGATGTGGATCTGGTGTGCATAAATGTAACAGAAAAGCTGCCATTCTACTTCCGAAGGCCCCCTGTGAATATGGTAAATTTACATGTAAATTGTTTTCTTGCTGTTAAATTCTCTATTTAATGTCAGTCTGAGTTGAATTCCCTACCATTCACCTCCCACCGTTCCCATCCAAGTGGTTCTTTTATTTTCTTGCATAATGTATAGTGTTTCAGATGTCCTTCACTTCAAGGCCTCCACTGCAGCACTTAGTACACAGTGATGTATGTTCTTTGTTTTTCTTCTTCCTGTCTTCCACTTAAGAAGGCAGAAGTGGTGTTCCCAAGGAATGGAAACAGAGCCTTAAGGCCACTTCTGTGCTAAGCTGTGAGATGTGGTGTGATTGCTGACTAAGCTGCTTCCCAAACCAGAAGTGGTACAGCTGTGTCAGAATAGATAAACAGCCCTGTGATTTAAAAGACAGGAGAATATGAATGACAGTGTTAATTTGGGAGAAGAATGTCATGGCAGTTACTTGGAAGTCTTGAATCCATACTTAGGCAAAGGAATGTCTTGGCAAATAAACCAAATGTGGAGTTGTTAAATATCTGCTGTGGGACACAAGATGACTGTCAGCATGGATCAAATATTTTATTAATACAATTCTGCCTACTGTTGGTGGTCTGCCAGAAAGCTTAATCTGAACGTTCTCTTAGGTGAACTAGCTTTTTCCTTTGAGTATATGTCAAAGTTCATTCCACGTGGGTATTCTTGTCTGATGCTTAAAAACTGAATTTCGGAATCAGCTAGAAATTCTACTTCCTCTACTACAGAAAGTTTGACCTAGAATAAAAATCAAAAATTAACTAGAATTAATCCTGAAACAGAACAAAAGTAATACTTTGGAATTTACTGTAGACTGGGAATTTCACCACTCTGCTTAGAGTAACACTTTTGTATGGAATGTTGTTTGAATGTACCCTACCTGCCTAAAACTGCAGCAGCAGACCCAAGTGAGGAGCTGGGTGGCTCATGGAGCCCTGTGTTTGGAGGCATTTTTCTTACAAGCTGCTTGTCAGCTTCAAGGCAGTCTGTCTGTCAGACTGTTTTTTTGCATCCTGGGGCAGTCAGTTTTGGTTGTTGTGATGCCAGACAGACAGATTGGCAGGCAGCTTAAGTGGTGGGGATGAGGTTAAAAATCTGCTTGACTAGAAGTTGGTGTATTGCCATCACCTGTTTTGGTTTTGATAAATTCAGGCTTCTCTTCTTGTTTGCAGATGTTGGACCAGTTCTGTGTAAAACATTTGATGTGTACATAGCTTCTGTTGTGCTTGCATGCAGAGGTCATGCATGGATGGGAGATGGATTAATTCCATCTGTATTCAGTTACTGGGCTTGCTTACAGTGTTAACATTGCAGCACTTTTAATAATATGCATGCATAGAGTAACATTTAAGGCAAATATAGTATATACCATGGAACAAAGAACTTCTACCTTTGAATTGTGTCTTTATCGCTAAATCAGTGTGTCCTGTAGCAAATTGTGTGTTTGCAAAAATGAGAATACTAGTCTTTTGGTGAGGTACTTCGACAGATAGCAAAGGATTTTAAAACACTTGAAAATATGATCAGTATTACTATTTGGAACTTCTCCTGTGACTCACTGCTATTTAACATTGTCACAAATACTAGAGTATGCTGTGAGACAGGAGAGAAGGGTCCTCATTGCTGCTTTTATGCAAGGACAAGTTCCTCGTCTGCAAGACATAGATTCTGTGGGAAGTGGTGGTCTTCTTTACAGCAGCCTGTGGGGCTAGAGGAGGAGAGTCCTCAAAATTTCAAGACTTGTTTCTGAATGGCAGTGGTTACCTGTCTTATCAACTCTGTGATACTGGAAAGCCAATTACAACTAATAAGTGGCAGGTATTTGTCTGTTAAACCTCATTTATCTGTCATCCCAAGATTCAAGTACACATACCTGGTGTGCAGTGAAACCTTGCCCCCCACCCCTCTCATGGTATGCTGTGCTCTTGCTGGAACAATTCCACCTTAGTTTTTCATATATAACACAATTAAACTGAGAATAAGCTACATCAATAATAGACAGGAGTTGTTAGATTGTTATGCTTCTCTCCTTTTGATTTTGGATCATTCTCTTTCATGTGAAGGCAATAGATCGAGGCATTTACTTTGAACTTCTTTACACGCCTGCCATCAAAGACTCCACAATGAGAAGATACACAATTTCAAATGCGATCAGCCTAATGCAGATCTGCAAAGGAAAGGTAAGCTCTCAAAGTGAAAAAAAAGCTAATTAATTCAGTTCAAATTCTTCTGGAGTTATACAGACTGAGCCATTTTAAATGAGTTTGATACTGGGGTTTCTGAAGCTGTGACTGTCTTTGCTTACTAAAACAAGGACACAATTATTCTAGCTCCAGATACTTCCAGCCGTGCACCACTGAATGCTTTCTTCTTAAGCTGTCAAACTCTTAGATTCCTTTTTCAAAACAACCTGTCTGTTATTATGGTATGCAATACCCAAAACAAAAGGGGGGGGTGGGGGGAAAAGTGCCAGAGATCTAAGGTTTGCACTAGAACTGAAATGCATGCATCTCTTTAAAATCTCTCATTTCATATTTCTGACTGACCAAAAGCTCTTTTTTGATAGTATATCTTGAATATGGGGGGTAAAAAAATAATAATAAGAAGTAGAAATCTCGGGTTTTTTAAACAACTACTAAATTCCCAGTGTACAAACCAGACCCAACAGATAGATGGCTATCGGCCAGGGATTTGCTGCAGTCAGATCAACTGCATTTCTTCCCTGCTACTGAAATCCAAGGAAGAAGTAGCACTTGCAGCTGAGATGCCTGTAATCTGTTGCTTTCATACCATTCCTCCTCCCAGGCTACCACGCTAAGCTGCCTGTCATTCTGGGTCCTCTCAGGCCATTTTTTTTTTTTTCTAACAGGGAAGCATATCATAATACATATCCAAGTTAAAAGAGATTGTAGCTCCCGCCACCTTTGTTGGAAACAGCCTTTGCCGCACTTAATCCAGAGAAGTCAAAATTGGCGTTACCCTGCAGATGTAGTCTGAAGTGGGATATACAGCTCAGAAAGCCAATTAAAAGCAGATCTGTCATTACCTCAGTTCCTCTCAAGCATGGCAGCCTATTTTATCGGACAGCAGAGTGGTTCAAACAGATTAATTCCTTTGGTGGTACAGAAGAAAGTGAGTATTTGCATGGCCTTTCCTGAGAAGCCCTGCTCTGGCAGTTAATTGCACAAAATACTGACTTGGAGATGAGGTACATACACACAAAACCCCTCTCCTTTGGGATTTCTTTTTGCCAGTGCTCCTCTTTCCTCTGTGCGGTTAAAGATGTGCTTCTTGTCGTTGTTGATTTGAAGAGCACCAGTTGAATTGGCATCACAAACAGAGCAAGTGAGGTGTTTGAGCACTCAGTCTATGCGCAGTGCCCTTTCTTTTTGCATCTGTCAATCTAGTGCATCATCTGTGCCTGGAAGGTAAATCAGCTGGGGTTGGAAGGGGCTAGGCATGACAAGTTGTTAGGCACTTGAAAAGCTGGGAGAGGACTGCTATCTTGTCTTTATTTTTTGCCTTTATTTTTTGCCTTCAGGCTCAGTACCTCATGGGTCAGCAGGGATGGTTATTAGCCCTCACTGGAAGTTTGTCTCCATCAGTTACGTAAATGCCTTTTTTTTTAACGAGGCGTGGGATGGCTGGCCTATAGGCTGTTTGCGTTTGTCACCTGGCACGCAGCTCTCACTTTCTGTAACCTATAGTTGCTGCACTTGTAGCTGCTTTTGGATTGTTTTATTCCTCCTCTGTGGTAGTAGGGCAGAGAAACTTCCAGAAATTTACTCATGTCCTCAGCACTGGCATTGAGCAGAGTCCTTAAAACATGTTAAAATGTGCAGGGAATGAGGGAGGGACTCTCCTGCCTTGCCAGACAGAAGGTGTGCATAGCCACAGTCCCTCATCTCCCGTGTTTTGGTAACTGTGGGTAACGTGCCTGGAGCAGTGTATGAACATCTTCTGTCTCCTTTACCTGGGGAGATAATGTGTTGCCTTTGAGTTCTTCACTTTAGCCCTTCCCTTTGATTTGCCTTTGCCTGCCCCTCCTTCACGCTCTAGCAGTGCTTTTCTTGTCTGCTCTTGTCTCATTCTCCCATCTTACCCATCCCCTAACTGGAAGCCAGTTGCCTTTGAACCAGGTGGAGTGCATCTCCCGTGCACAGCAGTGAACCACAATCTTGTGCTGGTTCAAGATGGCTCACACAGCTGCTCTGAGAGTTTCTCTGAGCCTGGGAGACAGGCATTGGTTGCTACAGCACAGAGCAGGAGACTTGAATTTTCACAGCAAACTCTTGCAGTCAGCAGCACTGAAGCTTAAAAGCACCCGTGGGATCCATAGTGCAGTCATTTTAAAGGTGAACTATACAGAAAGAAATGTCCTAGGCTCCATCATAATGTGTGCTGTGAAGTCACTTTGATGTATGTATTGCTTCTGCTTCTGGCATTCCTTATACCAGAGTTTTCTGTTCCATCCTTTCCTCAGCACCCGAGGAAACGTTGGGCACAGTGTGAACGTGCAGTCATTTCAATGCAAATAGCTCTTTTACGGGTTGAGTTCCAGCTGTGCGCAGAGCATTTTCTCCCAGTGTCTGCCCTGCTCTTTGTGCCGGGGAGGTAGCAGGACAAGCAAAGCAGTGTGGGGAAGGGATCAAAAGCCCCACCTTGTAACCGGAGGTGGTGGGATGTGTTAGTGGTACTGACGTCAGAGAGGGAAAGTCTTTTGCTGCCTCAGTACAATTCTCATTCCCACCCACTCAAGCAGGAATTCCCAAAGCCTTTTATTCAGTATAATAAAAGCTGCAAGGAATTTTTTTGTTGCTGCAAAGTTTCCACCTGTACAAAACAGTCTCCCCTGGGTGAGCATCCTTGGAGGTTTAACATCAGAAGAGTGCTGGCAGCTGAGCTGTGGTATTTGCCAGCCCCCGAGCAGTCACGTACCTGTTCTGTAGAAACCCCCTGGGAGAGGAGTAGGGAGATGTCTCCTTCTGAAAGGTGTGGTGCTTATTCAGCTGATATCTGTCTGTGAGATGTTTGTAACGGCAAGGGAAGGCTTGTCCCTGTGCCCCTCTCTCTGTAGGGGACACAGAAATAACCTAGGTTTATTCATGTCCCCAGTTAAAGAACCATACTACTAGAGTTCACTGTGTCTGAGGGCATCAGATACTCTGATGGTTAATTGGGCTCTGAGCCTGAACTTAGCTAATGTGCATAAAGTCTTCACTGCTTGCTGATTTTTTTTTTTTCATTTCTTGTTGCTGTCTGACAGATGAACGTTTGTTCTCTTTTGTTTTCCAGAACATTGTTATATCTAGTGCAGCTGAAAGGGTAAGCTTTTGTTGAAGTCAGAACAATTTGAGGATTTATCTGTGGCTGGAAGGACAGGTTTAATTCTATATTAAATATATAAAAATTGTAATTTTAAATATGATTGCCGTCTTGTGGGGTTTTTTAATCAATCTGTTTTACCAACTAATTGTATTGTGGGTTCTGGTTTGGTTTTTTGTTGTTGTTTGGTTGGGCGGGGTTTTTTGCTGCTGTGGTATTTTCCTGTCAGTTTTGTCCCAGATGGGGACTCTCTTTTCCAAAATAATGGTATTTGCTTGGATTTCCTACTGCATCTTTAGCAGCTTGCTATTATCTAACATTTAAACTTGCCTTACTGGTGGCCCTGTCCAGCCTGCTCACCTTCTGTCAACCTGCGAGACAGCGTGTGCACATATCCAACCTTTGTTTTGTTTTAGCCTCTAGAACTACGAGGTCCTTACGATGTGGCTAATCTGTATCCTTTAAGCCAAAGACAGCAGTTCATACTAACATGTGAAAGTTCAAAGTGGTTTTGAAATACTTCTGTCCTTTACACTCCTTGAACTTTACACAGTGGTGCTTGCTGGTGACTGATTCAATGAATCAGGACTCTGGGTGTGGAAGGAATAACAGATCATGGTCATGGGGGGGGATGAGCAGTTACTGTAAATAGTAATGTCTGTGTTCAGCTACAGGTATGTTTTGTTGTGATATGCATTAATATTGTGTGGGTGTAAGTGGAGAAATGGATAAAAAATGTAAAAAAAACTACGGACACTGTGAACCAAACCAGAAGTTATTACATGTTATCTCCAAGGTGCTGCATCTTTGGTAGAAGAAGCTATGAAATCATATTTATATTAAGAAAGAAAAAGTTCCTGTCTGAGTGCTGGTTACTTCTTTCTGAATTTTACAGACCTTAGTTCCATATGTGCTGTTAGATAACTGTTTGTGTTCTAGAAACCAAGGAGAGTGTCTTTTCTCCCTTTCTTTTAGGAATTCAGATGCATTTTTACTGCTCCCCCCTCCCTGCCCCACAAGCACATATCTGGACTGTCCCTTGAAGGGGAGAGGAGTGTGCTCTGAGTCATGAGAACTGTGTGGGAGGGTGTGTGGCCTGGAAGGATTTTATGCGCAATGTTTCCTTCCTTCTTAAAAAGAGCAGTCAGGTTCAACTCAAATTAACATAACTAATCTGGTGTCATCCCTGCTCAAGGTGGCTGGGAACTTTTCAGCGTAATGCTTTTGTATCAGTGCCCTTTCCTCAAAACTGAAAATTTCAGTGGAGTCATTTTTTTAGTTTATTATGCATATAAAAATGTTCCTGTGCTGACAGACTTCTATTTTCAAAAGTAGAGCTTCTTGTCTGGAAAAAGGCAATGCTGCCAGGAGCTTTCCAAGAGGGCTGCTGAGGAACTGCAGCCAGGAGGATTGGGTGCCTCCGTTCCCTGCCTCTGGGTAACCTTATGCAAAATGCCACTTTGAGTTGCAGCTTTGCTAATTCCCAGTTATTTGCAGAGTAAGCAAACCTATCATGTAGAGAGATATCCCTATTCTGTTTGTTCCTTTCTGTGCATTTTGATCCTGAACAAAGGTGACAGAGGTTTGCTGTTTGGCCTGTCAGAAAGTGAAGCCAAGGCAGCTGTGACTACCAACTGCAGAGCCACTGTGCTCCATGGTGGTAAGTAAAAAGCGCATGCAAACTCATCTAACACTTGCATATGTTAAACTAAGTTCATGTTAATGCCTATTTTCCGAAAGGCCAAAGACTTTATAGAGTAAGTCAGCTTGGAGTTTTAGCTCCCCTGTCCAATGCACGAAGAGGAGCTTGTGAAGCAAGGGTGTTTTATTTTCCCTTGTTGCCGTGTTAGCAAATCAGTGTCTGAATTGATGGCACTGTCTGTACTTGAGTACTCGTTTAACCACGTTAAAGAACCATAAACTGTTTAGCCAAAACACAGATCTGCCTGTTGTGCTGCATAGTGGAACTAGCCCTTGTTTCAGAAATGGTTGAATGCTGATCTTGGTGATTCTAGCAGAAACTACATTGTTGCCTTCAAGAAAATCAGGATGCATGTGTTTTGTGTTTACCTTCCTGCAGCATGAGTGCAGGCGCAACCTTTGCCACGTCCCTTTCTGATGCTTTGTTATGTGGTATATTTCTGACTCGCTCTTCAGTGTGGACCGTTTCAAACTTGGTGCAAAATCAAATACCCTGAATGCTTGCTGCTTAGGAAAAAATGTTTCATGTAGTGTGCGATGGCTTGAAGTTTTCTGGTGAAACAAAACTTGCTTCCTTCCGCTCTCAGCAGAGAAAGCTCACAGTAGCTCTCTTCTATTCACCTGTTGATATTAAGAAAGTGGAAATTTAGCTTGTCGCCCACTGCACTGGAAATCAAAAGATTTCTAGTTGTATTTTGTGTCCTGGTGTCAGTGCAGCATGTGGAATTTCTCAAGACCATCATCTAGCTTATCTGTGAAATTAAATAGCAGATTTCATTTCACTGTTCCCCAAAGAATACTAGCCCAGAATAAGTAGATGTATTTTCGCAAGGTTCTTGCAGAGACCCTTTATTACCAGTATTTATAGGGAGTCTCTTCTACGTAAAATTTTTCAGAGAAGCCTCCCACCAGTAGTTCTGAAATTGGATTGGACTCACTAGGTTGTTTGGCAAACGTATGAGGAGTTTGATGACATCACACAGTACTATTTTATGGTAATACTGAGGGTTCTATAAATAAAATATTCTTGAATACCATAAAGCCACTTACTTGGTATGTATAGGGGAGCCTCTGCCAGTGTAGCTATGCCAGCATAGTCTGTTTAAGAATCCTGGGGTATATGAATACTTTTGAATATATATATTTTTTAAGAACAGTATGTTTTGCTCGGAAATGTAGAAATGCTTTTAGACAATGCTTCAAAAATGTGTCCTTCTGTGACTATTGAACGGATTAAGCCTGGTTTCCTATGGTTTTGTGTGTCTGCAGCACCGCAGCCTCTGCAGAGCTCAGTTTTCCCTTACATTTGCTGCAATTCTACACCCACCATCGGATTTCCCCCTTTAGTTTCCCCACTCCATAGGGCAGCATAGCCCCAGCTCTTGCTCCTGCAGGTTATTTACCTGCTGTATGTGCTGACTGATTGGCTGTTAAACGTGTTGAGCTGTGCTTTGGGGCATGGACACCTGCAATGAGTATGCATTAAATGTGTTAGTGTCGATTTATTTGAAGTACTACAGCTTCTGCTTGTATATTCCAGAAACTCGGAAGAGTGCCTGTGGGGTAGTATACACAGTGAAGAAGCCTCGCAAGGTTGAGGAGGAAGAAACAACACTGCCAGCCTGTAAAAAAGCAAAGACTCAAGCTTGAGGACTGAGCCAATTGCCAACAGGAGCCTCCATCCCATCTTTACCCAGTGTTGAGTCTTCCACCCTCCAGACAGCCCAGTTCCTCCCTTACTACTTTATTTAGCCTGGAGAAGAATTATTCTGGTGTTCAAGTGAGGAAAGCTGTGGGAATGAGACAACTGAATGGTAGTTCACCACATAGAAAGGTCATGCTGGGCTTCTGGTCAAGGTCAGGAGACCATCTCTCCACCCTGTCTTAAGGTTTTCTGGACTTAGTGCAAACTCAACACAACATTTCTAACATATGGAAATATTCAGTTGTTTTAGTGCATTCCTTTTTTATTAAAAATGTTTCTAAGAATGTGTGCTTTCAAAGTCTAGTTCTTTTGTTTCTCAACTTTTAAACACATCTCTCCACTAAACCTTACAACTGCAAGCCCATAGATGAAGTTTACCTTCAGTGGCCTGTGAAGAATAATGATGCAGAAAAAAACCAATCTGCTTTCCATTCTGTTTTGTGATCAGTGGCTATAAAGAAGATCTCAGCATCTGTCACTTGGTAGAAGATATCTTGGGTTTGCATTACAGTAGGACTGACTGACCTGACCTGCTAGACACACATCCGAAAGACCATCCATGTCCTGCAGCTCTTAAAACCAAACAGTAACATGAGATGGTTGCTGCAGGTGGGGAGGAAGAGCCCAGGGCTACACTACATGCGTGCTCAGCATGGTATGTTGCAGTCGCAGCATAACAGCTGTCTCACCTTGGCCTGAGTGGTCTCCACGTCACATCATTTTTACTGCATCATTTCCTTCTTCATGTCCTGGTCTGGCAGTGTTGTCTGTGAGTGTTCATTTTGCTGCCTCCTGCCTTTCCATTTTCCTTCCTGTTAATGCCTCAGTAAACCTAATCTGGCTGCCAAAAAAAGCAATCATAACAGATTTATAATCAGCAGAGCATTTTCAGAGCTCTTCCAAATGTTGACTGAAGTTTTTCTTTTGATTAAACCAATATAAAAATTATGTAAACTACGGTACTCGAGATACTCTTGAGCCAGCTTTACTGTGAATATTCCAGTTCTCTATTTGCGTCTGACAACAAGTTGAGAAGTGGAAGTTATAGCATGTAAAGTGTTGCAGAAATCTTGCAGTGGGTCATCTCTGAGCTCTTAGCAACTGGACTGAGCAGAATGGATGAAGTTCTCAGTAGACTAACATAATGCTGGCGTTAGTCACAACAGCTTTTGCTTCATTCAACAAATAATGAAGTATTTTTCCTTTATGTTATTTTTTGACGTGTTGACTTTGTGATTTGGGTCTGTTTTATTATAGGTATTGAGATGTAATATATACATATATACACAGTAGTTTTACATTTATGGACTTCCCTCCAAAATGATGCTCTAACCAGAGAAGAAGCAGTAATGAGTTTGGTGCAATTTTCTGACTAACACATTATCTTACCTTGGCCAGAGAATAGCCTACCTTGAGCATGAGAGAAGTTGTTTGGTAACTAGAATATGGAAAGCATATGGAGGCTTTTGAATGATAGAGATGCTTTTTGCTACTTGTTTGACTTGATTTAAAAAATTTACAGTCTGCATCTTTGCCCTTTAAGTAGATACAGTGCTTCAGGAACTGATTGAAAAGTTTCTTCTCCACCAGTTTCCTGAAGCATGTTGTTCTGGACACTTTGGTGCCTGTACAATTGAACTGCTTCTCCGTTAGAATGATAAACAAACTGAGTTAGCCAGCACTGATGTAATTTCTATTTCCTGCAAGGCATGCTCCCAGTGTCTGGGTAATTGTGCAGAAATAAGTAGTGAAGTAGTGGCTTGCAGAGAAGGGCAGTGAGCAGAGACGTGCCATAATTTTTATGGAGAAGAGTGTTCACAAATAAAGCCTATGGCTGGCAAGGTGACACTCAGCTAGTTATGGAGCTTGTGTGGGAAAAGTCTTGTCTATCTAAAGCTGTTGGCCTCAGTCAAAGATAGATGGCTGCGGGCAGAAGAGGCATTTCTTCTGCTTGCTTCTCTGTGAGGTTTGTGTAAATTCACTCAGTCTTCAAGATTGGCACTGCAGTAACAGCTATTCATCACTGCCCATTCCTGACCTTAGCTCATGGCCTGGGACATTGTTTTGGCCAGACTATAAAGCCTACTGGCTAGAAGCCAACTGACACAGGATGAAGGTGTGTGAGCGCCTGTGGCATGTTTTGCGGGGAGGCCACGCCGTGGGGCATTAGGATTTTGACTGAGTGCAGTGTGTAATGTCGCAGTGAAATTGGACATTGATGCCCTCGCTGGCAGCACTGTTAAGATTGTTCTGCTTCTGCTAAAGCAAAGGAAGAGGCGCCTGCCTTTCCTAGCAGGACTCACCATCTTCCTTGGCTTGGACAACTGAAGCTGTCTTATGTGCTCCACAGGGTTAAGTACTGACGTGCTGAGAAACTGAGATTTTAAATCAAACTCAAAACTGTAACTTTGTTTTACTAGCTACCCAAGTATTGTCTTTCTGCTTTTGTATATGTGTTTCCATTTAACAAAATAATAAAGAAATGGCATTTATCTAACAGTGTCGGGGAGGTAGCTCAAGGGCTAGCTGCTTTAGGCAGCTGAGACTTTTTTTTTTCTTGAGTTTTTAAGGATTTTACAGAGTCCAAGATGTGAACTTTCTTTAAAGAAACAGCATCACCTGTGCATGCTCACAACTCTGTAATCCAATCCAGCAAATAAAAAGAAGCACTCTGTTTATTTAATCTAAAATACATCAGTACAAAATGTACAGAAAAAGCAGTGCAAATTTACAAATATACATAATCTGTTTTTGCATTCTTCAATCATCAGACTTCACAGTAGTGTAGTTTAAAAAAAAAAAAAATCACATTCCTGATACTGTCTCCTCTCACCTTCATAACATTGCATCTGCATCCCACAGTCCAAACGGTTACATGATGGTTGGAGCTCTGTCCTTGAGCTCTTTATGGACCATCATTGCTAAACCCTGTGTAAACCCCATTACTCAACTGCTTCTTTAAATCCACTTGGCACCTCAGTCCACCTCCTTCCATTGCTCTTCCACATATCACCACTCATTTAACATATTATTTTAATAGTGAGAATTTGGCAGAGACAAGGCAACAGTTGCAAGTATTCGCTATTTAGAGCTATTGGAAGGCTTGAGGGAACTTGCTAATGTAGTTGGAAATACTGCCATCTAAGACAGAAGGATTCATATTGCTGGCAAAGATTGCATTAGGATGTAGAAGTCTATTAAAAAGCTACAACAATACTGAGAATAATTAAAAATTACTTTTTAAAATAAATAAATAAATAGTAATAAATAAAGCCATTTCAAACCAGTGGAATTTTGACATTCAATCTGCCTTTTAAAATAATTTCTTTGCATTCTTGTTTTGCAGTTTTCAGTGATTGTACCTCAAATAATCCAGTACCATAAATATTTTAAATAAAAATACTATGTTCAGGGCTATTTTCCTCCGGGTTCATATGAAGCATTTAAAAGCAGCAAAATGAGAGCGAACTGGTTTCTCTCTCTTCAGGACTTGCCTAGATGGATGCTCTTGTAGGAATTGTCTTTCAGGCTGTTGAATATCTCTTTGGTGCCATTCTGCCACTGAAGAACAAGATCCATAGGGGTTTTCCCTTGCTGTTTAACAAAGCAGAGGAAGCAAGATTTAATTTCAGCCAGTGATTACCAACTCCTTTGTTCTTCCCTAAATATTTTTGCAGTGCATCTGCCTGATGTGAGACCCTTCTGCACACACAAGGTCAGACTCTCACCCTCCCGAGATCTGAGTCCTTTTTGCTCTGCAAATCTAGTCCCAGTCCTGCTCAGACTCGTGGTCTCCATGTCTTTGAGTGGGTCTAAACCACATTAGCAAATACCGTGACTAGCAGAGCATGCAGGTGTTTCTTTTGATCTAGTTTGAACTGAAGTACATTTAGATGAAACCTCAATAAGCCACTCTTCTATTTAATGGAGAATTCAGATAAGAGTTTGTACTGGTTTAGTTAGGTTATGAACCACATCTAAATTAAACGGGAGCAACTTCTGTGTGCAGACGAAGCCTGAGAGAGCAAGTCTTTGGCCTTGGGGGGCTGTACCTTTCATTATTTTCATACCCTGATGAGGGATAATGCCAGGAGTGGCCCTGCTTCAGAGAGCGTGGGCAGAGAGTAGGGAGAGCAAGGTGCTGCAGCAGCTGGTTTCTTCCTTGCCCCCTTAAGTTTTGATTGATTGCCAATCAACAACACGGACTGGCATTGGTGAAGCTCACTGTCCATCCTACTGCTGCTCCATTTGGGCTTGGGGGAAAGGATGCTGCGATGTGATATGCTGTGTTTTAACAAGTGGTCACAGAGCTCCAGCAAGGCATCTGCTGCTGCTGCGGTGGCTGTGAGCAGAGAGTCAGTGTGGGGCTTCTTAAACTGAAGCTCTGCTGAGACACAGGGATTTGTCGTGCAATGGTTAACAGCCAGTCACCCAGATGTAGGGCTTGGGCTCACCATTGGCTGTGGTCTTAAAAGAAAGGAGATTTTTCTGAACAGCTAATATCTTTGTTGTCTCAGTGGTGGTTGAAATCCAGGAGTTGTACAGAGATCAAGTGTTGTCTGTGTATCTTTTTAATATATCATATGCGTAAATAAAATAAATCACAGAAAGATGTGATGTTGTTTTAAGTTGCAGCTGATGGGTTCTGCTTTTAGAAGAGGCACTGGTTTTTCCTCTTCTCCCTGACCTCCCCCAAGTTATACTTTCCCTGTGTCAGCTCTGCTTTAATTAACTCTGAATTGATCTAATTAAATCCGTTCACAGTAGTCTGTCCTAGCCTTGCAACCTATGAAACTGCTCTGAAGAGAAACTTACTCTGAAGCATTTGGTGCCACTGCATTTTTTGCTATTACTTACACAGTTCTTTATAGTTAGATCTGCTCCATACAGAATCAGAAGCCTGATCATAAAAAAACACGGCGTCGTGCATCGGTGTGTCTCCTTCCTAGAGGCAGGAGAAATGGACCACAGTGTCAGTCCCACCACCCCAGTGCCGCGGTCCAGCCCCGGCTGCATAGCTGGGGATTTTTACAGACAAGAACTATCAAGGCAAACAGCGGCTTGATGCTACCCGATAGCTGACAGGTAAGAAGTTGTTGGTACTTACTCTGTCTCTGGCATTAAGGTCTGCTTCACAGGCAATGAGGTGCTCCCCGCAGTCATACTGTCCCGTTCTCACAGCCACATGCAGAGGGGTGCTGAGCAGCTGAGAGGTGGGAGGAGGAAGCAGTGAGTGGCATGGAACAGGTAAAGACAGCTTCAAGAACGGCTGCCAAAAATTATCTACTTCGAGTAAGGGTCAGCTTTTCATCTCCAATTTTAAAACCTTCAAAGTCCCAGAAGCACGTACCTTGTCTCTTGCATTTCTGTTTATCCCTTTGTCCAGTAAGAATTTCAGAACATCCAGGTTCCCTCCCCGGCACGCCCAGTGCAGGGCTGTAGATTCAAGCTGCAGCAGGAAAAACAAATGGAAAGTAATTAAATTAATCATTATATTAAAAAAAAAAAAAAAGGAAACCATTTTGTTCAAATTTCTAAATTAATACAAAATAATTTTCTTGCAATTTAACCTAAAGCCCTTCACTATGATCACTGAGTTGTTTCTAGTAACAGCTTTTCTTATTTTGCCCTTGTTTCTTTAGTACTGTGAGTTTCTCACTCTTCACACTCACTGCATATTGCTCTTAAAGACCAAGATCTTGGCTATGCTGCTGTGGAAGAGGATGTGCATTGTCTGTTCTGTGAACTTAGAAGTTATCTTTAGCCAGGTACATGGCTGGTGTGTACCAGTTAATATTTTTATATTTGATGCCTTTTGGGTTCTAAAAGACATAGAAAATTAAACTCAAGGGAAAAAATGGTTCTCTTTAAAAACAAAACAAAACAAAACAGAACAAATTAAAAAAGCCCACAAAACTTATGCAGGCCCACAAAGTGAATGAGAACCCTTTTCCTCTACAAGATGCAGTTTCTCTGCACTCAGCGCTGCTGGGATGAGCGGAATGTCCCTTGAAGGCCTCGCTGTGCCTGTTGTTCATCCTGCTCCTTACACCATCCACGAGCACCACTGTGTGAAGCGAGGGGGACCAAGGCTGTCTGCTTCCAGCTGCTTAGCAAAAGGATGAAGAGCCACAAGTGAAGAAGCAAAAAAATGTCTGCAGAAGCCGGTGATACTCAGCTTCTCTCATGGCCAGCGTTCCGCACGATGCGTTCCTGTGTGATCTGATCTAGGTGTTCCTGCTCTGGCAGGGGGATTGGACTAGATGATCTTTGGAGGTCCCTTCCAATCTCTGACATTCTGTGATTCTGTGATTCCGGAGCGCAGCCTTGAAATCCTGGTGGAGAATGTACAGGTTGCGCTGAGCCCTGGACACAGACGTGGGACACCAGCATCTCCACCACCTGCTAGCAGGCTGCAGTGGTAGCCTGGCCTCGGCTCCCTCACCCTACATTAGGCTTTGTTGTCTGTGGCAGTCTACTGGCCAATGTGTTCCTCCACTTCCTGTGCTCTTCAACAACCATTCTGGCCAAGGGAGGCAGACACCCCCTCCTGAAACCTCTTCTCAACAGTGGTTTTTTAAGGATAATCTTCCAGGATGATTCAAGGCCTTTTAATGGTCCTCTTCTATAAGAAGCACTTCTATAAGTGCTTCTCTTGGCACTTACAAAACAATGAGCAGTTTTTGGAAGGAAGCGTGAGTTGATGTGCCTACCATGTCTTTCTGTTCAAGCCGGGCTCCAGCCTCCACCAACTTTTTCACCACCTCTAGATGTCCTTCAGAGCATGCCCTGTGCAATGCGGTGCGTTTGTACTGGCAATCAGAACAGTGCAAAGTCAGATATTAAATATGGCACAAAGAGGTACCTTTAAATCTTTTTCTCCCCACCTCCCTAAGATGATGGCAAATACATACTTTATCCTGATTCATTTTTAAGAGCTAATACTTTTGAGTCCTGAAATCTGCTAAATTTTAATAGCATCATGATAGCTGAGAGCTGCCTACCCAGCAATTTAAAGGGTATGAGAAATATCTGCAGTATGGCATTCAAATTTAAAATGATGCCTGTTGAGTTCCCCCATCCAACATGCTACACTGCGTTTTGCAAATGCAGCTTATGCATTATGGAGTATGAGGACAAGCAGTATCATTTCTTTTTTTTTCATTCTATAGACAAATTTCTTGTCTGTTCATCTGTAGCATTGGAATACCACCGCCTACAGAAAATCAGGGTCTCCTAGGCACCAACAGCCTTCTTTTAAATATAAAGATTCTTTTGAGGTAATATTACTTTGAAGGGTCCCAGTGGCCCGTTTATCACTAGCAAACTTGATATACAAAACCTCCAGAGTTTACTTACTTTCCCCCCACCCTTTTTTTCTCCTCAAAAGTGTGGAACCTACAAAACCTAGTGGTAAAAATTGGTTTTGCTCTGTAAAATCTGTAGTAGGCTTTGCAGTAAGAAAGATTGTACCTCATCACAGACATTTGGATCTCCTTTGTCTGACAGGTATTTTTCGATTACTGGCAGCTTATTCTCCAATGCAGCTCTGAAGAATGTGGGTATATCCACTGGTCCTGTCTGATGGAAAAAATAAACAGGGCATAAGTGTGTGCAGTGCAAAACTCCGCCAATGCTTTCCAAGAAGAAGGTACGTTGAAATAACTTACAATAACTTCTGGTTCAGGTTCCTTTACAACAGGAGCTTTCACCTTCTTGCATTTTTTCTTCTTCTTCAGCTGAATAATTTTTTCAAGATCCTCCAAGTTTTCAAGTTTTGACCTCTCCTCTAATTTCTTCTTCTTCAGCTGAAACAAATGAGGGAAGCCAGGAGTTGAGATGAGTGTGACCACCTCTCCCCTTCAGAATGGCAGGACAGTGTGTGCTATTATTCAGCTGAATTCAGTTAAGACTGGATAAACTTTGAAATAAGTTTGTTTGTTTGTTTTGTTTGTTTGGTTGGTTGGTTTGTTTGGTTGGTTGGTTGGTTTGTTTGTTTGGTTGGTTGTTTTACGGCGTGGGCTAATTGACCATTAGAATAGGTTACTAAGTGTGTGAGAAATTCTACATCACATATAGTTTTTCATACACCATTGGACCTGTTCCTATATGCTGCTTCAGCCATATATTGTAGGATATATAGCATGAATTTTTGGTCTGTGTTAGGCCAGGAGTCAGAGCACCACTGCATTTCATTCTGGCCCAACAACTTAAGAAACCTCATGTGCAGCTTATGTTGCATTTTTAAGCTTGCAGTTTTAACTGACTTCCACCAAGCATTTTGCCTTCAACCACTTTTATAATGCAGCCCTTGATTTTTTGTAACTTAATTCTCTTTGATGAAAAACATATCCTTAAGTGAAAAGCAAGGGCTATACTGATTTTAGCATTTCAGTCAGTATGTGTTACATTTTGATAAACTACAAATAATGTCCCCAGTATCCTTGGACAGGATGTTCAATAAATGCTTAAGACTTCTTCAAGCCTGCTCGTAAAAAGCACCTTTGCATGAAGTCAATATGGGGCACTGCTGACATCAAGGACAAATGTGTTGCCTGAACTGAGGGTCAAGATCCCAGGTACCACAAGGTGTCCTAGGCTTCAGAAGGGGAATTCACAGACAAGGGGTAACTCAGGGTGAACATAGATGACGGATTCTGTCCCATGGTATCATTCAGGGTAAATACATTGGTGAGACAGTATATATGGTACACATTTTTTTCAACTTAATTATTATTCAAATTATTTCCACCTCTTCTTTTTATTCTCCTCTGCATTTAGAGCTTGATCTGTAGATCATTGAGTCAATGGAAAATATCATGTTGGCTGAGTGGGCTATGGATCAACTGGAAATAAAAAAATTCTTAGTTGTTTTGGATAGAGGAACTCAAAAAACTTCTGTAGCAAGTAATGATCTCCCTGTTGAAGGTGCAAGTCAGTAGTATTTATTTTGATATTTCTAAGCCTCACTTTTCTGCTCTACTTTTTTGAGAACAAAGTCTTATGCTCTCTGCTAGTTAAACTTTTTTTTATTTTAAATTTTTAGGCCAGTTGTTTGCTTATTCACAATAGAATTTAAGAAGTTACAGCTACTGTATTTTGAGGGGAAAAAAGCATCCATTCTTAGGGGTCTAGGGAGAATTGTCATGCTCCAGGAATACAAAATGGTACTTTTCTGTAGACCAGTATCACTTTTGTTTGTAATTGTTTTTCCCAAACGTGCTAGTAACCATAATGCAGTGTTTTAATAAAAATAACACTTTCACGGTACATAAGGCTTCTAGCTTCAGAAATACTCTCTTACATTTTTTCTTGGGCTAGTTATTTTTGGTGGCAACCAATAGGTGTGCAAGCTGAAGGTGTCTCGTTGGCTATGTTTGTTCCCCTCCTACTGACAGCTAGCAGCAAGTGACCCTGGGCAGGAGGGAGATCCCAGGGTTTTGATCAGACATTATAGGGGGAGTTTTGGGTTCTGCTTCACAGCATTACTGCCTGCATCCATAGGCTACAGTAGTCAGCAGATCTCCATGCCCTTCCATGAACTTTAGACCAACCTCCTTTGGTAGTGATCTCCCAAGGGTTTATCTAGCTCACCATGCATGTATTTCTGATTTAGAAAGAGGCAAAACTTCAAGGGCTGCAGCAGAAAGTGCACCAAAGGATGATAAAAAGCCAAGCACAATACCCAAGAGCCTACCTCTGCTTCTGTCTTTTTCTCCTTCTCATAAGCCAGATCACCTCGGGTCAGTGAGTGTGCAGAGACTGTCTTTAGGTCCTCCTGCTTCTCTAATCTTACTGCAGCTTCATACTCTCCATTTTTGAAGTCCTCAGGGAGGAAGCTGCCAGTCTCTTTATCGTCTGCTTTCTTCCCAGTCACCTGAAAAAGCAAGCGTGATATAATATAAGCAGCAGTTTCATGACTGCAGTAGCCATGGATTACCCAGGGGCTAATTACATGTCATTCCTGTCCTGCTCGAGGAGTATGTGACAGACAGAGTGCAGACCTCATTCAGCCTGTGCCTGATTAACTGTGTATGCGAATGGCCAGAGCAATATCGCTTGCAGGCAGATCTCTCGCATCCACACAGCAAACCCCCCCTAGGCTTCTTCAGGGCTCTGGTCAAGATCCATGCGGCCAACTCAGAGTCTAACTCCATGTTTGGCTGGGGCCGAGGTGCTGCTGTACTGGCAAGAGCCAGTCAGTTGGGAAGACCATCTTTTTTGTGTGGGGGTTTCTTGATGGTTCACCCGCCAGCACATGTCAGTCTTCAGAAGGCTGCAAAAGGCTGCGGTGGAAAGAGCCCCCCTGACAAGCCACCGGCACCCTGCAAGCGTTGGGCAGGGGAGCTGAGCAGGTCGAGCAGGCAGAGAGGCTTTCTCCCTTGGGACCTTACAGTTTTATTGAAACACAGCCAATGCAGTTAAATCAGGTTGCTGAGTAATTTCCAGGCTAGTTTTACCCATTGGTTCTATGACTGCTATCAGCACCAAAGTCCCCATTTATAGCACTTTGCAAAATAGCAGAAGGTAGTTTCTGTGCAGAAGCTGTGTGATGCTGGGCAGCAGCACAGCTTTCTGTAGCTATCAGAAGCATTTCTAATGTTCAACTAAGTATGTACAAAGAGATAACTTATTAAACTTAGTAGAGGCTGTGGCATATTTTGAGAGTAGCTCAGTAAATTCATCTGGCCTAGACTGCCTTTCCATTCAATCACTTTGTAAAATTGTGTTTGTTATAGAGTTTAACGCTAGAGAAACTGTCAGGGCCTTGCCAAAGAATTTAGACAGCATTAACTAGTCAGGCTATATGGCAGTTGCATCTTAACATAACCATCTGGGGAAAAAAGCAACTTCTGTATAATGTTCCAGTGTTCTACTGGATCGTTCCTGTTTTCCCAGTTTATTGATCATATCAGACATTCTTAGTCTGAACCCTGCAGTGGAATGTCCCATTACTTGTGGCCTGGTTTAAACATTATCTTTCAAAGGCTTGATAAGCCATGAACAGCAGTGTGTGTAGGAAGTGTTCGTTTATTATTAGAAAATAATACTATTACTAAACTGTTAGTTTAGTATTAGAAAATACTTTGGTTTCCCTTCATTGATACCTCCTCCTGATCCCTTACTGGACTGGAATTACTCAGCATGATCATGAACATCATACCTTCTAAAAAAATAAAAAAGAAAATCAAGATCAAAGGAAATACACAGCTGAATTTTGGTCAGTCTCTTCTTCCTGGTGAACTCTGCTCTGACACAAAATCCAAACAGCTATTTAGTTATATCAGTGGTGAAGCTCCTTCCCAAGGAAAAATTAAAGTCACAATATAATAGGATAACCTATAGTATAAACAAGTTTTGCACCTAGAGCACAGCAGTGCTGGTAATCTGCTAAATCACCTCAATGATCCACAAAAGTTGTCTCTCTGCCTGGTATAATGACAGTCTAGCAAGAAAAATAATTATGAATAAATGAAAGAAGGTTGTACCTACCAGCTCTTCTACTTTCATCATCATCATATTTGCCAGCGTTTGAAGGTCGTACTCCTGTGTGGCTGAAACTCCCAAGTGCTCAGGCCAGCTCTGCAGGGACCACCACGCTAGCTCTGCTTATATATCTTTGGGAGACCTGTGCTTGAATGAGATAATCTTCCAACCTGGGAATCCAAGTATGCCCCTTGGGCTTGCCAGCTGAGAGGTAGGCTCGCGCTCATTCCAGACATGTTAACAAGCCAGATCTGGTGTCGAGGCAGGGAGTGGGGCGTCAGTTGGGCGAGGAAGGGTGAGCCTCACAGTCTAACCACACCGAGTATGTGAATCGGAATGAAATGTGAGCTCATCATTCCTTTGGCAATGACTGCACGGCTCAGCAATGCGAGTCATTCTGTGTTCCCAGTGCCCACTAGGACAGCTGTCTGTTGATATAGCATTATCACTTCATCTTCTTTTTTTTTATTTTTTATTTTTTTAAACTGACATTCAGATGACTGTAAGATACTGGAAAGGGTAAGTGGCTTATGTAAGATACTTGTAGTAACATCTTCCTGATAAATCGATTATGACCCCTTATGTCTTGGAAAGACATTCTTTTCATTGATATTTATTCTTAGATGATAAACAGTTTTAGGGGAAAGGATTTTTCTCATCATTACGGCAGTCTTCTATATTTGTTGGAAGGCATTCTCTGTAGGAATTACTAAGCTAGAATGATGTCTCTAGTGCTAAAAGGGCCTATGACATGATAAGTTACAATCAGTGTAAGATCTCAAAACAGCAAGCTTTGCATTTTTCTGGGACTTTGTCAGTGATCATAATCAGAATAATAAATTCTGTCCTATTATGCTAAAAAAAAGTAAAATGCATACTATTTTCTCAGGCAATATCTTCCTTTTTAATAGGAGAGAATAGGAGCACAGAAGTGACCTGTTCATTTGTGGAGATAAGATGAGATACAGACAGATATATACAGATGATGTGTGTGTGTTTTGGGGAAAAGGAGTTATTGAATCCTTTGGGAAAAATAAAGGGGCAAGCATTTCTTGTGCCGTGAATCAGAGTAGCGTGGAATCAGGAGAAGGAACATCAGCAGAAGGCAATTTTATAAAAGGAAGATGCACTAATCTTTGCATTTAAGGAGTGTGGATGAGTGCTAAGAAAAATTGGTTCTGTCATTCTGGGATGCTTGGAGCTCCTGCCTGGTGAGGTATAAGCCTGGCTGTAGGAATCCAGGTCACCTGGCTGAAATGAATACAACTGCTCAGGTGCTTCAAGTACAACATGTACATAAGTGCTCCACCAAACCAAGACCTGACTATCTTGGGTGTTGTTTATATCATTAGCATCATTAGCATGTTGTGTTCCTGACACTGACCTTTCAAGGTGTCTCTCTTCTGAACTATCCCCCAGTAATCTGAGTCCATCCAAACTTGTCTTCTAGTGCCCATCATACCTATGCCCTCCCTTTCCCTGAAATTAAGCTGGATATCAGGTGGTTCCTTTACTACTCAGAATATATATGACATTAGCGGATGAGCCTCAGAACTAAAATAGAGTATGTGGCAGCAAGAGAACCTTTCAGAACATTTTTTTCCAAACCTAAGTACAGCCAGGATATCATTCCCCCCAGAGTGGTATGTCCTGAATCACAGTGCTGGGCTTTTTTTCACAGCAGTTTTGTACTCCTGCTATATGTCTCTGTGATAAGAGGCAGCTCGGTTTGGCTTTTTCTTGTTTTCAGATCTGCTATAACAGCTTATCTCAGTCTGTTTTGTTCTATGACACTTATTTGGGAGATTGTCTTGAAACCCACAGCCCTAACAGGATGGCTGCAGAGACCACTTCTGGTTTAGTGGAAACAGATCACAGTGGAGACCTGATGCAGGAAAAAAAATGCAGTGGTTTGCTTTAAGAACAAAAACTGTTTAAGAAGCTGTGAATTACCTCTGGCCCCATTGTATTTGAAGCTTACTTTTACTTTTTTTTTTTTTTCCCCCCTTTTTTAAAACAGCCTGCTATATAAAGCTGACTCAGCAAAACCTAAACTGGAAGATTTAAGTGGATAGATCTTCCTCTGCAAATAGTACCTAAATCCAGAGCCAGAGTAGCTTTACAGTAAACCTCAGTTCTCTGAGAGGAAACACAAACCACTTCTCACATCATGACTGCTACCAAAAAACCCCAGCTTATTTAGAGATAATTCAGTAATTATCTTTAAAACATCCCATCCCTGATGACTAAAAGAATAACAAAGAAAGAATAGAAAAGAATCTTCCTTGATTAGCTCAAGTTTAGGCGTGAAAAGGATGGCACATAGAAACCCACTTTAAGCAAAGGCTGGAATCTAAATTAACCTAATGGTAAATGCTTTTAAGCTAAATGCCATGTAGACCAAGGTAACCCTATTGAAATAGTAGAAATGCACTGATCCATATCAGCTAAGACTCTTGGCCAGATGCTTATCACTATTGCTTAATATTGGAGAGGGAAGTAGTATAATGAGCCTGCAACCTTGTGCTGGACTGTAACCACTTAATCACCTTTCAACAAGTGATTTCTCCTTAAGGTGGTAATAGCACATGGTCAGTGGGAGATGCATGACAGGAATCTGAAAAACTCTTGTCATTCTGCTAAAGGATAAGGGTAGAGCAATGACCTGCAAGGTGTAAGGCAATTGGATATTGTCACAAAAAAACTTCACAGAGAAAACCACAAAAAGGCATCAGGCTCAGCATGACAGAGAGAAAACTATATGGCACACCCTATTCCCTGCTATCAAAAGAGAATTTGTCTGAATAGTGTAATTAATTTTTTAAAGAAGTTAATAGTAGAGTGAAAGGATTGTGTGTGATACAAATGATATTGCCACCTCCTGTCAAGTGTATTGCCATCATGTTTTCAGTGCCGTCACTGCAGTACTCGGCTATCTTGCATTTCCCAGAACTCTGCCCTTGGCTCTGTCCTTGCATCCAAAGATGTTGCCTTGTGGAATGCCATTGTGCCTGGCTGTCTCTGTCCATCTCCTGCCGCTCAGAAAATAAAGGTATGAAAAAATCAGTGGCTGAAGAGTGGTTATGCACCTAATAGAGTATTAATCCAGCAAACTATGTTCCATGTGTGTGCAGTCAGGGATAAATTCATACCCAAGGTACATGTAAGGAGCAGTAACCCATAGCTTACCCCTCCTGGGTTAGTGATCTGTTGGTGTGCAATGGCTTGTTTATTTCTCAGTATGTGTGAGCATCCGGCATGCCCTACATATATCCACACACAAAAAAGCAATAAATAATAGTATATTGCAAGAACTGTATTTGTTTCCTCCTCTTTTTTAGCTGTATGTTTTCCATAAAAGGCAGGAAACACTTTTATTTGTCTAACATGTACTCTTTGATCTTTATTGTCAAAAAGCAGTTTGAGTATGACTTAACTATAATATGAAAATTACACCACTCATGTGCTAAATTTTTCAACATAGTGAGATATATATATATATATATATATCTGTCTGCTTTGTCTAAAGTGACCAGGGAATTGCTACATGATCTGTTTAAAACAACTTTGAGACTTCCTATCAATGTATATTTTTGTGCATAAAACTGATAAAGAGAACCACGTTGTCTCCTTAGGGAAAAAAAAAAAAAACCCAAAACTATTTCACCTAGTAATATTAAGTTAGTTTTAAAATTAGAATGTGTAAAATTGTTGAATTGAAGGGTGAGGCTGTAATTCCATTTCTTTAGATCAGTTGTTACCATAGAAATACAGAAGTCACAGTCTGGCAGGTTGCTGGTCTGGCCAGCGCAGTCCTCTGGTGTCAAAACCCAAACCAGCAATGAGTCAATAGTTGCATCACTTACTGTAGGGCTTAAAAAAAACTCTCCTCAAATGACATTAGGGTTGGGGATTTCACATAACAGAAAAAAAAAACCAACAACAAACAAAACCAAAAACCTGTGATTTCTATTTAAAAACAAGGGGTTTGAATTTATCTGAGTCCTTGAGCTTTATCATGATGGCATTTGTAAAACGTGTGAATCTGGCTAATTTACCTTAATGGGTCTCAGTTAACAAGCAAGTGCAGGAAAACACACCAGAAAAGTTGTTAGGTGTGGGCAAATGGGTTTATCTGCTGGCTATTGGCCTTCCTAGTCAGCAATATGGTTGAAGATTCTGCTGCTCCAGCACACCTATGCTGGTGCTCTGTTCACATAAACTTTGACTACATTTTGTGTGGTCAAGGAAGTACAGTATTCCCTCAGCTGCAGCAAAAAGGCTTTTCTGTATTGATGTGGAGTTGTCTAAAAGGTTTCTGCTATTCATAAATACCCCAGAACAACTCCAAGTCAGTCAGGAAAGGAAAAGTGCTTAAAGTAGAGAATTGCAGAAGTTATTATCCTTGTAGCTAGAGCATGCCTGCAATGCTGGTCACTTGAGTCATGATCCAACAGGTACCTATGCTGGCCAACCGCTCTGCAGTAAAGCATAGCCAGTGCTTTTGACTGTCAGCAAGGGAGAATTCAGCTTTGCTCCAGAGAAGCTGTGACATTTTTTAATGCTATTTGAATTTTTAATTTCACATTGTCTAACTTAAAGTCTCCAGTTATCAAACCTCGCTATACCTTTGCCTGAAAGCTCCTACATGCTCCCAGTAGTGCAATGCCTTTTTGCTGGGTAAATGTAAGGGGATGCTACAGTTTTGGGTGATGCAAGCATCCCTCTGACAGGCTGTATAGCATCTGCAGGACTCTTCCTTGTTTATGCAGAAAAAAATCCAGGCCATAGCTGTCCTCCTCTCCACTTACATAGCCAAAGTAGCAGCCCAGGAGACACAGGAGCAGTGCCAGACTTCACAGGCTGTTCATGAGGACACCACAGTCACTTGCAACTGGCTGCTTCAATTTTGTGAACTCCACTCTGCAAAGGTGGGAGGTTTTGTGCAGGGCTGCTTACCAGCAGTGCCCAAATAACATCCAACCACTGCTTTTCTCTGTAGTGTTACCTTACAGTACATGTTGAAGTGATTATCTAACGGGATTCCCAAACTATTCTCCACGCAGAATTG